TTTTTTTTTTTTTTTTTTTTTTTTTTTTTTAGGCGTAATAATACGATTTGACGGGAAACTTCGTCCGTCACAATAATACAAAATATATATACTTATAAATATATTTATATAGCGCGCGAAAAACTCTACTTCAAAAGCTTCCGATGATATGGTATTTTTATACGGCAGTCCCGATGCCTGCCCGCTCGCCTGCCAGCCTGCCTATATGTTATTACATGTTGTATATGTTTTTTTTTAATATTTAATATTACGCGTGTTTTTGTACTTACATTATATATATATATATAACGACATTTTTCTAGACTAAAAAAAAAAACAAAAAAAAAACAATAATATTATTACGACAAAAACGCCCGCACAATAATGTATAATTATTATTATTATATCACTTATAGTAATTACAGTTATTTTACGGTGTCTACGGGATAATAACGCTTGCACAAAACGACTAATAAAAATTGGAGTCCGGGAATCCGGCCCTCGCACTTCGGATAAACGCAAGGGCCGAATTCGCCGGTGCCAACGCTGACAGACGTCCGACTCTACGAGCGAATCCGAAGCTCGGCGGTGGCCGTATAGTATAGGTACGAATAGGGCAAATTTGCGACGATCAACCCGTGAAACGTTTAACGCGCTAGTGTTGTTTTTTTTTTTAATACGCCGCGGATCGACGGGCGAACGCGACAAACGGTTCGGGTATCGCCCGCGGATCGTCACGCGTCGACGGTGCGCCGTCGTTTGATTTACGGGCCGCGCGGCGACGGTCGTCAATCGCGACCGTCTCGAAATCCGCCGGGGTACGCCGCGATCGCGACCGTACACGCGCCGTATCTCCGGCCGATAGCGACAGTGTTGTTCCACAATACGATGTGCAGGCACGCCGTGGCCCGTGTCGAACCGCCCCGGGGATAGTCGCCGTCGCCCGCAATCACGCGCGCACGATATCGACGACAGTTGACGGTTACGCGACGCTCGGTTAGCGACCGTTGAATTGCCGCAGTGCGAACGCGCCGTACTGCGTACCGTTCTGTTTTTTGCTGTACTGTCGCGATTCGCACTGCCACTACTGTCGTCGCTGTCATACTGTCGTCTATACCGTTGGCCCGTGAGCGGCGTGTTCCGCCATAGTTCGGGGGCGGGGTAAACGCTTCCGCGTCTTCCGCGGTTAGAGGGGAAAAAAAAAAAATTTGCACAGAACGAATCCTCGATAATATTCCAATATCGGTCTGTCCGTGGCCTTCGGCCGTTAACCTCCGTTCGCGAGCCCGTGTCGGAACCTAATAGAACCTAATCAACCCGTCGATTTGTTATGCGAAACCTCGTCTCGTACAGGTCAGAGGAGGAAAACGTGTTTCCACGTGTTCCGCGGTTTTTTAGTTTTTTTTTTTTTTTTTTTTTCTTTGTTATCACGCGAGGGAAAGGACCAACTGCCCGGAGGCACTTTTATATTACCCCCGCATATAATATTATCATGGCATTTTTCACGGGTTAATCAGTATATGAAGGTGCCTATACCGCAATTTGCCCTATTACTCTTTTAGTAGGTAGCTATATCTTATGGTCCCCGACTTTTCGTACCAACCTCGTATTTTATCATACAGTCGGATATCTATAGTTGTTTTATAAATTATATTCTAGATAACTTGATGCCGGTTTCTAATCCGGTAGTGGTCAAATAATTTTTTTTCATTTTTTTTTTTTTTAAATTACTATGCCGATGCCCGCTAACCGTCGTCGTGTACCGGTGTTACAATACCGTAAATTATAATAATATATTGTATAGGTATACCTAATTTTATTATTATTGTAGAACTGGTAGTAGTTGCTATTTAGCACCAAACGCCGCCGCCGCCGCACCAAAAACGTTTGCTTCGCGAAACGACCACGCACTGCACACGCTAAACCGTTTTAATTTTTTTTTTTTTTTTTTTTTGGTTTTTCAAAAATGTTTTTATGCCGTCGTCAGCGGGTTTTCGGTGATCCGGAATGGCCACGGCGAGCTGCGGACGCTGTCTTTGGACGCAGACTGCCTAACGATCGTTTTCGATATCACTGAAATAGAAAAAAAAATGTCCACGGCTGTGATTAGACTGGTGCTGGCGAACGGTACGGGGCGAAAATTAAATTTAAAAAAAAAAAAATTACAAAAAACCCGAATAATATTATGTTATAATAGTACGTATATTATTATTGTGTATTCCAAACCAGAAAACGACGGATTCGCAATAAATACCGTACACAAATAATATAAAAAAAAAAAACTATATACGTCGGTCATGCAAGTATATTGTATATTGTATAGTATTATATAGGTTAACGTCCAAGATCATCGGGTTTTTTTTTTAACTGTTAATCGGTTTGCTAGTAATATAGTTAACTAAATTTACTGCAGCAGTATGACTACGAAAAAATTTAAAAAAACAACTAATATTGTATATATAGTATATAACGTATACGTGATCGGGGAAAACGAACCGCCGCCATCGATCATGCAACTACTATATACGCGCGTCTTCAATACATCTCGTGTCTAAATAACAAAACTACCTGATCAAATACTTCTAAATAGCGCTTATGTATAATATATAAATTAAGTATATAATAGTGTTATAATATAGTTACCTACTGTACTTGAACGAAGAAATAAATATAGAAAAACAATAATAACAAGAATAGAAAATAGACAATAAATTATTATACCGAGATTCGAGAGGCGACTGCGTATAGTATAGGCAATATTATGGTAATCTTTTTTTTTTTTTTTTTTTTTTTATTTTTTTANNAAATTTTGGGGGGAAAAAAAAAAAAAAAAAAAAAAAAAAAAATTATCGGTAACTATGGGTAATGTCGAAATGAGAGTGTGTATTTCGTTTCCAATATTATTTTTATTCTGACCGTGGAACCTGCAGATGCCGGCCCAAGTCTAAAAAGGTAACAATGATGACCGAATTAACGTGGAAAATATGACCGAAATTGGTACGTTACCATTTTAACAAAACCATGTTTGTTTTTTTTTCTTATCAATTATTGTGGAAATGTTTGGCGAAACAAAACGATCGTCTCCTTCCACAAGTCGAAATTTTCTTAGAACATTAGCAAACGATTTACACACTCGTGTCGGGATGACATATATGATAACTTAATAACACTATTTTAAGTTCGACATTTGTTTTCCGGTATTTGTATTATTATTGTTATTATTTTTAAGTAAAAAATAAAACGAAATGTGAACTATGGCGATTATAATGGAATAGTGTGGTTAATATAGGTACCCGCATTTTGGCGGAGTCGACCGGACTCAAGCCCCAAGGCCGTATACGAGAGCGTCTAAGAGGAAAAATGTTTAGCGAAACGTTTAACAAATTCGTTAGAACAAATGTCGCACGTCTGTCTCTTCAGACATTTTTTCCAGCTACAAGCCTTAACAACTGGCATAGGTTTATCGGTCCGATAATCTTCTAGTACGCGGTGAGCCGAATACTCCGCGCCTACGACAAACCCAATAACTTTGATAACGTTACTGTCTTCTACAGAATTAGAATTGTCCTTAGACAAATAAAAATGTATTATTGGTTTATTCGAACGAGCGAATATTCCAATTCTCTTCGACTCCCCACCAACATTTTCAACGGTATGGATTGCTGAACAAACGTGATTCGACGAAATAAAAATCTATATTTAAAGTTTTATATGGTATTTCATTTCAGAAAAAAAAAAAAAATGTGAAAGAAACGAAAACACTTTTTTGACTTTGTAACGTACCTATTATAATAATTAATGATATATACGAGTATACGTATATTGTTATATAGTGTTATCATTAGATCTATTGTGGCAAGACTAATTATTTTATTAACAGTAACACTACAGAAGAAACGATAATGTATACCTACACAGATGATGCATAATAATATGTACTACGATTAAAACAAAAATATACATACAGGGTGTCCCACGAAGATATGCCTACCCGTTGTAAACATCTCCGGAGATAATAGAGATAATCGAATTCTTTTTACATATTACTCGCAGGGATAAGAACTATAAACGTTTATATTTCAATTAATTATTTATGTTTTGGTAAAAAACTTAAACAAACGACTCTGTATTTTATTATTTATTAAAAATTTGAAAACAAGTCTAGTGGAAAAAGATTGCAGTCAATTAGCCGTAATAACATATGCGATTACAGCCTGCAGTTTAATTATTATAGGTGAATTCCTTTGAACTTTAAACAATTACTAAAAATCACGAATTTAATGAAAATTAAAAGTTGATACATCAAAATTTTCAGAAGAATAAATTTGATAAAATGGCTATCGTCGAGTTTTTCGAAAATAATAAAATAAAAAAGTTAGATTTCAAGTTTTTTTACCAAACCATAAAAATTTAATTAAAATATATTTGTAGTTCTTATCCTTGGGTGTAATATATAAAAAAAAAAAAAAAAAAACAAAATTTGATTTTATCTCTATTTCTTATCTCAGAATGTATTTCAATGGGTATATCTTCGTGGAATATCCTGAATATATTACCTAGGTTATATAGATTATAATATTATTAACATAATGAAAATGTTGTATTTTTTTTCAAAAAAACCTTGTTTTCAAGCAATAATTATAATATTTGAAAAAATTATACAAGGGATCATTATATTATAATATTATGTATATAAAATAATTGTTTATAAAAAAAAAAAATGGCGAAGAAAAGTGTTTTCTAAAAACGGTTCGACATTTTTAATAATTTACGTCTGTACAATTTATAGGTATATTTAGGCCTTTTAGGGAGTCCGTTATTTTCGAATGTGTACATTTTACAGTACCGAGCGTATAACGTGTCCAAAATATCTACACCGTAAAATTTGAG